TAAACCCAAAAGTTTACTAAGGTTTTAGATTGCAATCTGCCCTAGCTAGTTTAATTTAATTAACCGGTTTCACATTTCTTGTAACAGCTGTATTTTCAGCGAAACTCTTACATATTTTTAAGATACTTTTATGTGCCTTCGACATGGGCGATCATGACCTTCCACAAGTTTCTGTAGTTTGTAGGCTACACTCGAGTTTCTTCTTCCGACGAACCGCTGCTTTGTGGCACCAGCTCAAAAGAGCTTGCTTCCCCGATCGCTACAATCTTAACCTGTTCAAGTCTAGGGTAAACCGTTATCTTCCCCTCGTATCCCCATAAACTGCCGCTTTATATGTAACTATCTGTTTCGAGAATCTCTTGGGCCTTGTACATCATTGTAAAAAATGTTTGCTAATCTAGTACATTTTGTCTTTCTGTTCCTCGTTTTGCCATCGTTTATCAAATTACAATCTCTCCTAGTTATGCAATATGTAATTTAATTATATGTGTCATTGACATATAGGAAGAAAATGAGTAACTACCGACAGTGAGGTTTGAACCTGACACATTGGACTTATAAATATATGTTTTCCGCCAGGTGTAAAAATAGCGGTGTCAGGCTACTGACTGCGGTGATTATTGAATGATTATTGAGTGGAACTATCCAGTCGAATTAGTGTGAATTATTGTGCGTCGATGATTTGGGTTTTGATTTAGGATTTACCGAACGTTAAGCCGAGCCGCGCTACTATCAAGGTATTCACTGAAATGGTTAATTACCTTTGGTTGACTTTTACTACTTTGTTCTTGTTAAGTATTTATTTGCGGTTATAAAAATACTGTTTTATTTCAACATTGAAGTTTGAGTTATACTTAATTATTAACGACTATCGTACATCACAAAACTCATCTACATTAGCAGGGAGAGGTTTATCTTTGATTGTAGCCAGATGCTTTTTCTTTTAAGATTTAAGCCTTTTTCAACCGGGACGTTGGTGTAAAGGGGTTTTATATCTAAGTTAGCCATGGCTATGACAGTTATATTTGTTTTGCTTAGTTTTTCAGTTAGATAAAATCCCTTTACAACAACGTCCTGATTGAAAGATTCTTACCGTATATACACGCGTATCATGCGACCTTTGAAAACCTACTTTTGAAGCTAATTTGACTACAGTAAATGGGTATATAGTTTGGTCAACAGCGTAACCTGGATTAACAGTACATACACTAATTTCATATCTCGGGTATGATGCGACCACCTTAAAATAAGCTTCAAAATTAGGGCTTGAAAAATCGCAATGTACGCGAGTATATATATAGAAAATCTTTTTAAAAATCAAAGATAAACCGCTCACTACCAGTAGCTAAAATAATAAAAATCTGCCGTCTCATCACTAAGCAATGCTATTTCATATTTTCATGGTCGACCATGGCTCTTCACAACTTCCTCTCTTTGTTACCCTTATAACACTTTCCCCTTTTACGTCCAATCTTTGTTTTGTGGTCTTTGTTCACACATCCAATGTCTTTGACTCTTGAGCTCAATTACTCGTTGTCGCCCGACTGTATATATTTTTGTCATTATTCGATTTGAGTTTTAAATTCTCTAAACCTTCTTTCCACATTATGGTGATTTTCTAATTATCATAATGTAGCTTAGATGTAGTGCAAGATCGAAATCATGAAGCATCCAGTGAGGATCGAACTCACAACTCAATACGTCAAGTATCGCATTATGGGTCAAAAGAGGTCACTGTCTCTTTCTAATTATTAACAGGAATTTGAATATTATATTAGACGAGCATTTTTAATTATCTTTTATTTTTCGAATAGATTTATTTATTTAATGTCAATTTCATCTGATTTTTTTAATTTTATTTTTTTATTTATTTATTTTTTTGTCAACTACTTTCTCTCTCCGGTAGTAAAAAATGCATGAATAAAAAATAACTGAAAATCTTTACGGAGAATCTAAACAGGGTAGCATTTATGTGCTTTTCGGACCACAAAACTAATAGAGTACTAGACTTATTCAGGGAAATCTGATGCGATTTCAAGTCTCATCAAAGAATTCTGCCTTTTTTTCCCATGTAAACTGATTACCGACGGCCGCAAAATGAGTGTCTGAAAAATTATATATATATATATATATATATATATATATATATATAGGTATATAAAATTTATACAATGGCAGAGGTAACAACTCAACGTCCACATGAAACTTTCAGTTGCGGATAACTAGAATATAAAAAGTTTTATTTACACACACACACACACACATATATATATATATATATATATATATACAAGAAGGTTCATCGAAGAATTCCGTAATAAATTTTTTTCGACAGATAAATTATGTCGAAATAAATTTATTACCGTACTCTTCGATGATATAATAGTGTTTTCTTTCTTGATATATATCATATTGCTCTGCATATAAATACATTGAGCTCTCTTAACGGGTCTATCTTTTTAATATTCTATATTAAAAAAGAAATGGATTATCCTTACTCTTATAAATATATATATATATATATATATATATATATATATATATATATATATATATATATATATAGACGTATATAAATTCATTGCATCCTATATTTCCTGTCTATGAACGAATACAATTCAGGCCGGTAAATGTTATTTAATACTGTTTATCTTAAAAGAACATTTGCTTAAATACTTGTATTTATAAAATAACAACGTTAAACATAAATAAAAATGTCTTTAATAAATGAACTTAATATATATATATATATATATATATATATATATATATATATATATATATATATATATATATATATATATATATATATATATATATATACATACGCATAAATATATATGTATCTGAATATATATGTGTGTGTATGTGCGTGTTTGTTTCTAAAGAAATATTGGATTTATTTTTAATTCAATATTTTTAGCACTTCATATGTTCGATCCCTGCAGGAGAACACATTTTCTTTATGAAGATTTATCGATTACGCAGGGCAACAGACGTAATAAACACCGATAAAAATAAAAAGTGAGGTTTCTATTTAAAATACAAGTATCCATAATAATAACGTTTGAAATAATATATATATATATATATATATATATATATATATATGTATGTGTGTGTGTGTGTGTGTGTGTGTGTGTGTGTGTGTGTGTGTGTGTGTTTGCATGCACATTTATTTAAGATCATGTACAAAATAAACTTCTACGTACACATTGAATTATTTTGTTTCAAAATTATACATAATAATATGAATTATTATACTACAGAGTAAACAAATCGAATAAATAAATACATTCAGAGAAATATATAAAAGTGGTGTACCTATAAATTGTATTATCTACAATGACCCTTAAGCCCTGCGTGCGATTTGCGTTCTTTTCCGTAGAGACGATACACAAAGGATCTTGTTTTGCTTGCTTATTGGATTATACGTTGATAGTGCAAAATTTCAGGTCTACCTAATCTAGGCCTATTTCTGCATGTTTTATTTCAAATCGATAACAATAAATCCGGAGAGATTAGTTGTGCGTTGTCAGTTGGTGGTCCTCGTCAGCATTAATCTTTACTTACAGAGGATTTACGGCGGTATCACGTTGAAACATTGGTTCTCGTTCGATCGCCGTAGTTAAGCAACGTTGGGCCTGGTCAGTTTTTAAATAAGTGACTGCTTGGTAATACCAGATGCTATAAGCTTGGATGTTCGAGTGGTGCAATGAATCGCACTTTGAAATCGGAGAGCCGAATCCCAATCCCATTCGGGTTCGTCATATTCACTTACGCGTAAATACCCTTGGGACAGGTATAAATACTCTTCATTGGATTTGTGGTATATATAGAGATAAACGTTGGTCTAGTACATAAATAAAAGCCAGATTTATATATATATATTATATATATATATATATACGATAAATGTGAACAGCCAAGACAATAGGTTTTGTTATGAACAAAAGTGTTTTTTTTATTCATCCATTTACATCGGTGTGGTCCGAACTGGTTAATCGACGAACGTAGCTGGTTCGGTCGATTGTAGCTGGTCTGGTATGGTAGTTTATAGGCGAACGTAGTTATAGAATAGCTGGTCCGGTAGTTGGTCTGGCCTGGTATATATATAGTTTAGGGATTGGTTAGTTGGTTCGGCCGAAATGCGAAGACGGAGTCCCTAAACAGGGCCAAGGCAGACTAGTGATGCTACTTCACAGGGCGGATCGACCGCGGAACGGGATTTATCACCAGGCGAAGATGGAGTCCCTAAACAGGGCCAAGGCAGACTTTGCAACTCCACAGGGCGGATCAACCGCGGAACGGGATCGCGCCAGAGTGTATCACCAGGCGAAGACGGAGTTAAGGCAGACCAGTAATGGTTAACTCCACAGGGCGGATCAACCGCGGAAACGGGATCGCGCCAGAGTGTATCACCAGGCGAAGACGGAGTCCCTAAACAGGGCCAAAGGCAGATTAGTAATACAACTCCACAGGGCGGATCAACCGCGGAAACGGGATCGCGCCAGAGTGTATCACCATATGGGTCAGAGAGGTGTTAACCTTCCAGGGCGGATCGACCGTGGAGACGGGATCGCGCCGAAGAGTAACACTCGACAAAAGCACCGGAAGTTCACAAAGGTAGTGTACTACACTTTGATCCAGGCCTCCAGGCCGAGCTGCCTAGTTTGGGGGAAAAAATAAGGATATTTGCAAAGATTTGTTCAATTTCCTGGCTAGAGGAGTAGAAGGCCGTAGATAATAAATTATAGTCGTTGCCGATGTTTAGAATGGCTCAGCATAGTCAGATGCGTACTAGGTATGGTTTGACATCAACGATATTGACTAGCTGTCCGGTTTCTGGCCTGTTGCTTGACCCTAGACGAGATCGAGAGTTGTGAAGGTCAAGGTCGGCTTTGTAAGGAGCGGATAATGACAAGGCCCTTCCCTAGAAAATTGATCGTATCAATTAATAATAATATTATTTACGAAGGTCTTTAGGGAAAGTGACCCTCCTACCGGATCGGGTCTAGTCGCTGGGGTGTCGTTTGATGTCTGCGGTGCTGCGTCTGATGGGTGCGCTGGAATAGCATTAGGGGCCGCAGAGCCGGGTTTGCGTCATACTGTCGCTTCTCCAGAAAAGCAGGCTTGGTCCGATCGATTGCGATGGTGTCGGTCGAGTTAGCGCGCTTGATCGTAAGGTGCTTGTCGGTGCGTCGAAGAATGAAAAGGACCTTGGTATGCCGGCGTGAGTGGTCGTCTCACGGCGTCGTTCCGTACGAAAAAACGAATTTATCTCGCAAGTGTTGAGGGATGTGAATCACCGGTTGCTATATGGGAGTTGCATATTTATCGACGAAAAGGAGATGTTGGTTTTGAAAACGTCTGAAGGAGTCGTCGAATATTCGCCGGTAGCGCAAGAGGTGTATAGTTCGGCGGGTGAACAACCTAAATCCTCCTTACGGTGTTCCTCAATATATATATATATTGATAGTGTCAGGTCTAGTGGCCAGGAGGTTTTAAGGGACCGATATCAATAAGCCGTTGGCGCACGGATGATAAGCGGTAGTCTTTATAAATAAATATATGTATTTGAATCCACTCTTTCAGGATAGAGACTGTTAGCAGAAGTGTATGTGGCGGTCGGCCACCGCGAAAAACGATCCACAACCGTGATACTGGTAATCCTGACACATCGGAAGCGGTCCCACTAAAAGAACCGCATCGGGACCGCTGAAGGTGCCGACGGGGGATGTTGGATTTTTCCAATTCGAATGTATTTATTGGGCAAACGAATCGGTCATATGTTCGATCGCCTTGGATGAGACAGCCCGTGGAAATGTTGGAATACCTGTCTCCGAAACAGGGGCTTTTTCAGCACAGGTGTCGTATGAAGATTTATCGAATTTAAAGAAGTATTCGGCGACGTCTTGCAGCGTGGGGTCGGCAACAGACGCCGGTCTAGATTGAATTTCCGCTCGCGATAATAATGCGACGGCGTTGTCCTTCCCTTTATGTGACGAATATCGGTAAAAGGTAGTGATGCCGGATTTCGATTTAAATGTTATCATATCCATAATAATCGACCTTCCAGTTTGAAATGCCTGACGGCCAGATAAATGGCCAGCATCGGGAGAATATATATATTGAAAAGAATATATATATAGTTGAACTCTTGCTCAACCACCGCGCCCACACCAGCGTCGGATGCGTCGGTCGTCAGGAATGTGTGTGGATCGTCGTGTGTGTGTGTGTGTGTGTGTGTGTGCAGCAGGTGTGTGGTTGGTGCATGAACCGACGATAAAAATTTAGGAAACGATCATGTACAAAATATCGAGCTGATCTTGTCTGGCAGACTATGTTGGCAGAGGTCTGCGTCGCGGTGCCCGAGAAAGTCAACGCTGGGCGCCCCACTTGTCCAGGTTGAGATTATTTTGTTTCACCAAGATGTCGTCGATATAGGCGTATACATGCGGAAATACTTCGTCATAATAATATGAAATTTTTAGAAATTTATAGGCCAAACGGTGTTGTGGACTGCTGTTTTTGGGACTCCGCAGCGACGGGGATCTGGTGGTAAATTTCGAGAAGATGCGAGCCCCCATCAATCCGGATGCAAAATCGAATAAATAAATACGGTCGATGCATTCAATTTCCGGTAGTCGACGCATATCCGAAAATATATAAAGTGGTGTGATGCCTATAAATTGTATTATCTATGTGGTGCTGAGTCTGAATGACCCTAAGCCCTGCGCGTGCGATTTGCTGTTCTTTTCGGTAGATGGACGATATGCGCCAGGAAATCCGCGCCGAGGATCTTCGTTGGCCACGTTGGCCACGGTTTTGAAATCGCGTTGCCGATATTCAAAGCGGGGTCCTTTTGGATTCGCGGAACCACGTTGATAGGGTGGGCTTAGCGGTGTGGTCGTTTTACCACGCTGATGGCCGCACCTGGTCAGGAATTTCAACTTGTTCCGTCGATCCCAAATAAAATAGACGACCGTGTTAGTTTCGTCGCGACTCTCCGGTTTATTGTTTTTACAGGAGGTTTTTCAAATCGATAACAAAATAAATCCGCGGGCGAGAGATTAGCCAACGCGTTGTCAGTTGGTGGTCCTCGTCAGCATTGGTCGAACTTTAGCAGATTCTGCCAAATCATCTAGAGGCGTGGCTCTCGTCATTGGTGCGATGATTTGCGCAAGATTTAGGGCTCCGCCATAAACCTCGAAGTGATCACGTTCCAGCTGGAAACATTGGGTCTTGTCGCCTCTAGTGACGTTCCGCAGTATCTCTTGGATCGTTCGAACGTCCGGTTAGTTGAGGATTGCTTCCTTTAAGTGAACGTACGGTTGGGCCTCGCGCAAATCGGAGAGGACATCAGAAATTTTCCATCATATCAGATGGGAGGACATTCGCGCTTGAAGTAATGCGTAGCATTGAAAGATGGATTTCACCTGCAAGAACCAGTTTGGCATTATGGTGGTATGCAGGCAGAGGTATGATCGCAGCCGTCATGTCCAAAGAATCAATGGGCCTGTTGCGGGGCCGAGTAGGATTCGCCCCCGCAGGTTTTGGGCATACGATAAATGTGAACAGCCAAGACAATGACGGGACAAAGGCAAAGGTTTTGTTATGAACAAAAGTGTCGTTTTTATTCACATTTACATCGGTGTGGTCGAAAACTGGTTAATCGACGAACGTAGCTGGTTCGGTCGAATGGTCCCAGTTGGTCTGGCCCGGTAGTTTATAGGCGAACGTAGTTGGTTCGGCAGAATGTAGCTGGTTCAGTTGGTCTGGCCTGGTAGTTTTAGGATTGCAGGTGAGCGTAGCTGGTCTGGAAAAGCTGGTCTGGCCCGGTAGTTTAGGATTGGTCGGCGAACGTAGTTGGTTCGGCCGAAATGCGAAGACGGAGTCCCTAAACAGGGCAAGGCAGACTAGTGATGCTACTTCACAGGGCGGATCGACCGCGGGAACGGGATCGCGCCAAAGTGTATCACCAGGCGAAGATCCCTAAACAGGGCCAAGGCAGACTTGATAAACTCCACAGGGCGGATCAACCGCGGAAACGGGATCGCGCCAGAGTGTATCACCAGGCGAAGACGGAGTATATAGTAATACAACTCCACAGGGCGGATCAACCGCGGAACGGGATAACGGAGTCCCTAAACAGGGCCAAGGCAGACTTCCACAGGGCGGATCCGCGGAAACGGGATCGCGCCAGAGTGTATCACCAGGCGAGGTAGGTGGAGGTGTTACACCTTCCAGGGCGGATCGATGGAGACGGGATCGCGCCGAAGAGTAACACTCTCGACAAAAGCGGAAGTTCACAAAGGTAGTGTTACTTTTGATCCAGGCCTCCCGCCGAGCTGCCTAGTTTGTTGGTGTGTCTAAGGATATTTGCAAAGATTTGTTCAAGTACTCCCTGGCTAGAGGAGTTAGATATTAAATTATAGTCTATGGTTGCCGATGTTTAGAATGGCTCAGCATAGTCAGATGTTATAGGGTATGGTTTGACATCAACGATATTGACTAGCCGTCCGGTTTCTGGCCTGTTGCTTTTGACCTAGATCTGCAGATCGAGAGTTTGAAGGTCAAGGTCGGCTTTGTAAGGAGCGGATAATCGGCGACCGCGACATAGTGGATGACTATCGTCTTAGTTCTTTTTCTTGATTTGAGAGTTCATACAGGGCCGTTGTGCTTTTAGCTGACAGAAATTAATTTGCTGAATTCATCCTTTCTTCTTTTTCTTCTGGAGTTGCACGTCCGGTCCAACTCCCATCCGATGAATCTCCAACTCTTGCGTCTCGCACTGCTATATCGAACCAATTTCCCACTTTTTCTAACTACGTGGTTTTTCTTTTTATTGGTCCTGGCACATCCGTGTTTTCCGTTTGATTTTTAGCGGGATGTGTTGTCATTGGTTAATTTTTTTATGACACACATAAGCTATGTCCGGGTTCTGTCAGTTACCGAGGATAGGAACAATAGAAGGGAGGAAAGGAAGTATGTTTAATAGAGAAGAGAGAGAGTTTTCTTTGCACTCTCTTAGTGAAAAGGAAAGTGTATATTTCCATATGGTGTTACTACTACCTAATCCTACTACAGATTAATTAGTAGGACTTGTATCAGTAATATCTTTATTATCTCAAAAAATTTCTTACAATCTAAAAATATTTTCTTACTTTAAATTAATCTGCCAAAGGTTGATAAGCCGTAAAAAATAAATCACGCCCAGATAATTTTTCACTTTTCCTTTACTTAGTTTTATGCTTAAAATTATTATATAGGTTTTTCGGGTAGAAATCGTAACTTGTTCTAGCTTAGGAAGACACGAACTCGGGCAGATAGTATACGCTTATGATAGAATAATATGGTGGTGGCCAAACCGCGGCTGACGAACTATATACGCCTATTTGTCTTTTCCTATGCTGCTCGTGTAAATAGGTTGGTTGAGCTCCTTTTTTTCATCACAGTTAATATAAAATGTAAACAAGAAAAATTTCAAGCTTTATAATTATTTACTGGGTATGAATTGAGACCCCATTGGATTAAAACATAAGTTTAATGTTCATGGTTAGTACAAAATATTTAAGAATTTAAATCCTAATTTTAATGCTAGATCTGAGTGAGACATTGTTCTTTAGAGCTGAAGAGAGGGGAATGGTGGGAAACAGAAGGATTAAAGAAATTTCCGGTCAGCAAGGGACACAGAGGAATGTTAAAAGACTGAGATCAGGGGTAAGTGAATTAAGGGGACCACGCTTACGTCATGTGCATAATTTTATGTTAATGAAATGCATATTCGTACATTTTTCTTTGAATTTCCCATAGTTCATTACCGTATTAAATACGCTAAGCATAGTTAAAACAATTATCAGTCTAGTTTTTGAAAACCTTTGGTATATATATATGTCTACATTGGGATTACTGAAACCAATAGTGATTAACAGTTTAAAAAATTGCATACGTAATAAATAGTATTGCATACATGCATATCTTAATATTTATATTAAAAAAATTGTCACAAAATGTGTATGTCACAGAAACGTATGTGTAAATTTTGTTCATGTCTTGCTACTCTCAAACATCTGAACTTTATGAACGTATGTGGCTCTTTCATTTAGCAAGTTCGGCCACCCTTTAAATAGTTTAATGATCGCATATACCAACAAAGAATAAGACAGCAGATCGTTTCGAAAGTATGTTATCATAAATGTAACTTTACAACTCAATTTTTTTAACTTTAAATTCTTTATTTTCTTTCTGTTTTTCAGGTAAGTAGCGGACGAAAAAAACAATCATTGCAAGAAATATTGGTAGGAAAAAACTATTTTCATTATTCAACTCCTTTTTAAAATTTATTTTCTAAATATTTTTCTTTCTTTCTCATTTTAAAAGTCTATTACTAATCTTCTGCTTCTACGAAGCTTAACAGAGAACACCATATTACCAAATGAGTATAGAAAGATTGTAGTGTACCAGGAGCTTTTCTGTTAATTCACCGCCAAAATAGAAATAATTTATATTTACTAAAAATTCACGCCAAATTCTCCCAGAACGAGGCCCTTCCATTGTACTCCGGTTGGTTTGACTATTGCGACTGCGCCAAATTAAGGCGACCCAGGTGCACTATTTTAAGTGTGGGGGTCAGCATTCGCGCTCACCATAACAGATTTTTTTTCTTTTTTGTTTTAAATTATAAAAAATTTCTTGTAAGTACCTCGAATATCATCTGCACTTACGAAATATGAATAACTCTCTGATTTTCGGTAATTTTTTTTTATTCTGAGAGTTGAAGTTGTTGCGAGGTAAGCTAAAAATTTTGTATTTAAACTTTATAATTTCAAAAGAGTACCAAAAATTTAATAAAAAACACAAACAAATTTGATTTAAATTATCTAATTTCTTGGGGTTAATTAATATTTGTGATAAGTAAATTTACATTATTTGGGTTGAATTAAAAAAATATCTGTGCACCAATCTTTCGAGTTGAAGAGTGCCTTGAAAATCAACATTAGAAACCAAGCTACCTTGGCTCGAACACTACATTCCCCGATATTTACTAAATTTTACATATTATAATTCAAAACGACCTGGAAAAAGA